AATGAGTCGTAATACATAAAAACCGTGATAAAGCGGTCTCATAAATAAATATGAGCGTTTCTAATTGAGTAAATAGGTATGTACGTTACGAACTTTAAATATGTATAGTGCTGCTCTGCACTTAAGATCAAACCAAACATTAAAAAATGGACAAAAAGTTTTTCGCGACGGCGGGAATCGAACCCACGTCTTCCGGATTCGCGCCCAGATCCTTTAACCACTCAATCAGCCGTTTAGCTAATTGGTTTTCGCAGCGGCAAAAAAAATTTCGTCCTATTTTAATGTACCTATCCAAAGACTTCTTACTTAGCAAATTCGTATATTCAGTTAAAATCTAGCAGCCATTCCTGATGAGTGATCATGAAATAATCTTTCATCAAATATTATACACATCACAGGACCACACGACGTTTCTTAGTATTTAAATATTATATTATAAACTAGTACTAGTTTTAGTACGAAGCGATAGGTAACTGGAAACCACAGGATCATTCTGATCTTTAAGAAGATCATTCTGATCAATTGACAGAGTTTAACAATCCTTTTAGCAACTCAAATAACATTTGAAACGCCGTTTGACTGCCGATTAGTTGACTTGTGCGATGATCAGTGTTTCAGAAACCGAGAGTTATTATAATGACTCCAATTGACAAACAAACGTGCGTGAGAGTTATTATATTGTTATATAATTATGTTGTTAATCTGACACATTTTGATTTTAAAATTAATGCTTCATTTTAAGGGGGTGTTACCATTTACACGATGGCTAATTATAAAACCGTTATTAGAATGTTTGTCTAATTAATTACGTATTATATAAGTAATTGCTTATACATCTCAAATCGTACATAAAAGTCAACAAATATTTTCAATTCCAACAATATTTATTTAGGCTGTCTCGATGATTCGATGGTTTTCATCAAAGATTATTCATTAATGTCTCTTACTAATTGTTTTTCGATGTATGGATATCGAATAATAAATTATAAAAGACATTGATTTATTAATAAGTTACAACAATTAATAACGATATCTAATAATATTGAAATTATTTATTCAATTTGTAGGCAAAACATGACTAATCATTTGAATTTAGAAAAAAGTTAAGCCAGTACAAGAAATGCAGCTTCCTCGCAATCGTTCGATATTTTAAACCAAAGCGCTATTCCCCAACACGTTGAACGTATGGTAAACGCGTCGCCATTGTTTCCCGCCGCGTCAGTTTGACGTTTGTTTTGGCGCGAATTCAAACGCTCCGTCGTAAATGGTGTTGACACCCTCAAAATGGAGATTATTCATGGATGTTTGCGGCCCTTTGTTGGGGTTATGCAGCGAGTTTATGAAATTTATATTGACACGGTCGGGATTATCGAGTCTTTGTTATGAAGGATTTGAATTTCGCGCGCCCCGGTGTGGGAAAACGGGTCGTGTGCCCGTGACAGATATTAATAATGGAACTCGCGGACGTTTTGTTTATTTATATCCATGTATAGCTTAATAAACTGGCACAAAATACCAATCAAACATTTTAAAGGATTATTTTTTTAAACTATTTGTCGCGAGAGATGATCTCGTACTTCGGACGATGATTTTTTATGGCGCCACAATTATTTCTTAATAAAGATTTAATAAAAATACAATCATGTTGCTCGTATTCTTATTATTTACTTAAATTAATGACTTATCTGTTTTAAAGTAATATGGATGACACGATTCATTGAGTTTACTTTGAACGATCAAGATCTGCCACTCGTATCTTAGCTTCAAAGAGACCTCTTGTTGCTACGAAACAAGTATTCCTTCCAATCCGCAAAAGCGCCCTTCCGGACCGATGTACCGTGCGGGAGCGTCGCCTCTGCGCGTTTTCCACGACTTATCAAAGCGCCCACTAATTTGGAGACAGCACTAGAGGAGGAAACAAGTGAACCAGCCGTCTCTTGAGAATCAAAGCGTCCCCGATCCCTCTAGTGGCGTCGCGGCAGCGTGAAATGGAGTCCCGGCCCTAACGAGCTAACCTAGGGCGATCCTCTAGCCACAAACGTTCTCACCACGTGCAGCTTTGCCGACGTGTTTAGTTGGATATTTCCACGGTTTACAGAGCGATTTAGAGTAAAAAGGCCCGGTTAGCGCCGTGTCTGTATTACGGCCTTGGGATCGTAACTCGTGTGTTGAATATAATTATTTAATTATAACTGCTCGGTACTAACAAATATCAACTCCAATGGAACCAAATGTCAACCCTCATGCAATTTATCTACGTAGACGCCCTCTATAGCATAACAAAATCCCTACTGAATGTACTGAACACCTATGGAAATCTACAATGTGCAGATGCGATTCCAACTTTAGTGGCTCGATTACCTCACTGACCAGGCGAAACCTAAAAATACAATAATTCACGCCAGTTATGTGAGGCCATGGCCTTCAGCATGAGGAGCTGCTGCGTAAGTGAGGTAGGACCGTGTCAAAGGTAGGGACCTCAGTCCTTCCATAAAGACGGTTTTTATTCAAAAAGAGAAGGAGTTAACTTAAAATTATGAAGGTTTGCTTAATTATAAACGCCAAAATCGAAAGTCATGGAATTTTACTATAGTTATATCTGTAAATACATGAAGACATAGTTAGTGCTCTGTCCTACATGTCCTACATTCGAACGAAGAGGTACACTTCATATTTCGTATTGCGTACGGCAAAGGAGTGGAACAATCTACCGGAGTCCTTCTTTCCGTGGAACTACAAAGTGAGTGCTGTCAATGCAAGATTGAATAGGATTCTGCTAGTGTGGTAGTGTGCCATCTTATTTATGTCACCTGATACGTGAGTTTACGTATAAAATATTTACTAGTTTGGTGTTTGTTTCTTTAGCGGGATGTCCAAACTTTGAATTAGAAAGAACACATCGCTTTTTGTTGTTATTGACGGAGATTGGATCGAGCCCTCCCGTGAACCGTCGCGTCTTTTCGCTTACACTTATATCGAATGCTTTTATAAAAACTTTTTTGTCGGTTCTTTGAACTTGCCTAAATTATTGCACCGGTGATATTCTTCTTCTTCTTCTTTTTATTAATGGCTTGCTTTGTGAGTTATCACAATTACGCCAATGTCAAGTTGTTCTTAAAATTCTCAATTTTATAATATTCACATTAAAATTGTAATAGGCAAATAAAAACTTCAAAAATCCATCATGGGGTGATATTCGTTACAGTATAGAACAAGCCTAAATTGACTGTCATCTCATCTGACGGTAAGTGATGGTGATAGCAATAAACCAGTAATTACTCGCTGCCTTCAACTAAGAAGAACTTTATAACTATGAAATAAATTTTTTTTTGTTACCTCGTCAGAGGGTTGTTTGATATTTCAGATACCGACTTCTTTTTGAGATCGCCCATCTAATTTATCATATTTAAACAAACCAACGAATAATTTCATAATAAATGAGAATAAATAGATATAGTAGGTACAGAAAAAATTTTAACTTTGAATTATTTGGTTAATTGAAGAGAATTATCGAGTATTCTTCCGGTGCTCAATTAATTGATTATTTTAGAAAGAAATAGAACCTAAGGAAGCGTATGATTCGTCGTTTCGTCAGTGGTTGCAAGGAGCGCCCGAGGGCTCTCGCGCCCCCGCGGAGGCGGTTTGTGTTCGGTAATTGGATCCGGGTAATGGGGGATGTCCCGGCCATAGCCCGCGGCGGACGCTCCATTGTGCCGTGATTTATGTTGTCTGTGGCCGCGACAACCGCCCCGGGCGCGCGACGCCCCGACAATGTCGCGATCGTGTCGCGTGCCGTTTGTTTCGTTTCAGACAATTTGTCACTAGCCGTGGTAGCTCAGTGTCCTTTAATACAATACACTCGAGCAACCTGAGTTCGATCCCCGGCGCCAGCACCGATGAAATTGTTAATTTTAAGTGCTGGCTTATCACGTGCTCAACGGTGAAAGAAAACGTCGGGAGGAAACCTGCATATTTTCGAAATAATAACAAAAAATATTTCGAAGATATGCGAAGTCCGCCAATACGCAGTGGGACCGCGTGGTGGACTATGCCCTGATAACCTTTGTAAAAGAGGAGACCTTTGCCCAGCAGTGGGATATGTATAGGCTGTTACTTTTTTTAACTTTAATTTGTGACTGTATACTGATGATGTATAATAATATAGATAACAACGCAAGTCCTTGCTGCGTGGCGTTCAAAAACTGTTCCGCTTTACGAAACATGACGTATACAAGTGAATGTGACGGATGATATAGAACGTGTGATACGGAAAGAGATAGCAGTCTATAAAATTACACCAATTGGTGTAATCTCAGCGCCTCAGTTTCCGTGCACTAGTGTCATATCTATGGTACAATGACTAATAAACGTTCGTGTCCTTCTTACGGTGTTCCGTACCAACGCCCTAAGGGACTTCAATTAATCTAAGTGTAGTCTTATAATTTCATCGTTAAAACTGTACTGCGGAGAACTTTAAATGAACGAATTTAAAGTTCTCCGAGTTTGCTCCGAAAGCGGCCGTGAAGCCGGGAGAGTTTTTATCATCTTTACCAACTATAATAAAATTAGAGATCGCTTTCAGAACAATGGGTCGAGCGTTTCGATCGATTTCCTGGATTTATTTTCTCAGAAATCTTTTTGTTATTATAAGTTGATTTGTTGAGCGACGATATTATTTAAACTATTGGTTGTTTATTTATTTGTTATTTAATCCTTTATGCACAAAAGTACAAAGGCGGACATAATGCCTAAGGCTTTATCTCCCAGTCAACCTTACAGTGGTACAGAGAAGGTTAATGGCTTTGCTCTAATGATTTTTACGAAAAGTTTACATCTCACGGTTGATAACATCAATAGATAATAATCATAAGGACTGATTGCAGAAATTTTGATCTGTATTTTTTTAGAATCAAAAGCTATTAATATTCAATTTTCGACCGATATGCCACCAATGACCTCACAGATATTCTCATTTGCATTCCTAACATAATTGTTCCTACCTGCGTCGGTGTGAGGTGGATGAGCGATGCCAGGTGCTCCCTCTCGGGTGCCGACAGGTACTTCTGCTGCTTGAACCGTCGCTCCAGCTCGTACACCTGGACAAACAACATCACCATGAAAGCAATGCCTGATAACTCCTTGGCACGGTTGCCAAGGTATTGGCCTCAGCGTCGGGGATCGTGGCTTCGATACCCGCACGGAACAACTATTTGTGTGACTAGTATTTTTAATGAATTTATGTCAAACTGCTTATTTAAGAAAAAAAAAAAGCCCGCCGCTTCTTTCGCCGGTTCTTCTCAGTACAGTGGCTTTCTTTTCCGAACCGGTGGTAGTGTTTTGACTATCAATAAGTGAGTGTAATGCTCCTATGTTGAATAAAGACATTTGATTTTGATTTTGATTTAGTTGGGTTTGTGGCACCTGGGTGTTTGTGCACGTGAAACATAAATTTCACGTGGACAAACACCGCGAATTGGTATACCTCTGAATATTTAATTTTTGGGTCATTTTAGTAGACAAACCGGGGTTATGTACTGTTGCGAACCATGTATACAGTGGTTAATTTTTATGCGCCATGTTAGCTTCGTATAGGTCAACTAAGATAAATAGAGTGCATTAATTAATTAAAGCTACCTTTAACAGTTTATAGTTTTAAAATAAATATTTACCCTTTAGTTAAGCACGTTGGAACGCTGTTTAATTTCGCATTGACCACCATTAAGAGCTATATAAATTTATCTAGTAAATGTTCGGAACTTTAGTTTTGATTTTAACACAATAAATCCATGAAGTGACATTAAATACTTTTTTATACGACAAAGTTACAAGCGAACTGGTGCTTTGGGCATTGGCTCGACGTTAAATGATTACAGCCGCCCACGAACTTCTCTACAACACCTCTGATGTTGTAGAAGCACCGTTAACCCCTAAAAGCGTTGGTCCGGTTACCTTACTCAGTAGAGGAACGCTAAGCTATGTAATAACCACCACTTCACGCCGATCTTCTTCTATTCTTGAGGGTACTTTTTTTTTTTATGTGATAAGTTGCCAAACGAGCTGACGGTTCACCTGATGTTCAGTGAATACCGCCGCCCATGAACATCTGCTACACCCCAGGGTTTGCAGATGCGTTGACAACCTTTTTGGAAATTGGGCTCCGGCTACCTCACTCACCAGACGAAACGCGAAAGTATTTCTCATACTTCCACTTTACGCCGGTCTTCTGTGAGGTCGTGGTACTTACCCGGACGAGCCTGCCCATTCGTGCCAGCCGAGGTTGCTGCGTGGCTCTACCACCGTTAAATTCTTCCCTAGATAAGGCTTTCTTTTATATTTGCAATAGCAGAAACTGCCGCGTGGTCACTTTATTTGCGGAAATAACTTATAACGTAATGTTTTCTTTTACCAAATCTTCTATCTGGGTTGGGCGCTATTTTAATAATCCCAAAGGGAATAAATAAACATATTATGCTATACATATTATGCTATACATATTATGCTATACATATTATGCTATACATATTATGCTATACATATTATGCTATACATATTATGCTATACATATTGTGTTTAACATTCTAACAAGTCAAAGTAAAACTGTTTCATTAAATTATTGCTTGTATTAAGCACACTTTTGCAGACTCAGATCGGTACAAAGAGAAACTACGAAACTGCGATCTCTATATACTCGTATATCTCAAAGGTGTATTTTTTTTGTCGGTACGCTACAACTTCCATAATTCTTCGTCAAATTTAATGATTCAAATACCATTTTAAAGCTCATTTTTGCCGCTATTGACTAAAATATACAAGTTAGTATAAAGTTCACGTATCAATAAAAAAAAACTTTCGTTTAAAAAAATCTTATAAAGAATGTATGATATGCCTATTGTCAACTTTTTTTAATAAAAGATAGCAGACTTAAAAACTTTATTAATCAAGTTTAGTTACTTGCTTGATAAAGACTTATTTACACATTATTATGTTACAATTCGGTGCGAAAATTTCGCACGGGGCAATTGCTTGAATAAATATTGTTAGAAATAGAAACGATAAGTGATTTTTTAAAAGCAACTTATTGGCCAGTATAATTCTAAGTAACCGACACAATCGTTATTAATTCGGGTAGAGCTTCAGTACGCTACAACGACCGACGAAAAACTGAACGAACATGATGAGCGCTGCTCGTTTTATAACCCGTTGCAGTGTTGCCATTCGATATTTCGATTCATTTCTAACAATATTTTATTAAGATATTCTAATGACTCGTGGCGCCGTTGCTAAGCTATAGGCTTCGGCGTAGGGGGTCGTGGGTTCGATTCCCACACGGGAATTGTTCCGGATCTGGGTGTTTGTTTCCTAAGGATAGTTGATGTCAGGTAAAATCATAGCCAAAACCGCCTAAAACATGATTAACATGTTGCACCGACCCCACCTAGGTGGAATAAGGGCAGAAGGATGATGATATATATAGTAACAATCGAAGACCTTGTTTTTTCATGCTTTGTGCATGCGTGTGTTTCAAACCAATTGAATTGCTAAACTTGACGTTCTGTTTCCAGATGTAACCTGTTGTTATCGAAATAACTCAAAGTTTCAGAGGTATATACGTAAATCTCAATTGGTGCGATTATATCCCGATATGTTCCTTGCTCAGTTGCTTACGAATTCTCCGTGTGACCCTGGCCGATTCCGTTCGGGTCGGTATCGATTTTACAGGAATCCCGTTTCAGTGGGCCGCGCCGCGCAAGTGTCTGCGACTCGCACACACGCGTGCATTCGAAGCGTCGAGAAATTTCCCGGAATAGAATTAATTACACCAGCCGGATAACATAGGTCGTGCTTCACCCCGGGGGCGGGGCTTGGCAGCAGTGGGAGGGGCGGGGGTGGGCCGCGTCCCCTCTCGAAATTAAATAGCTACGTTTGCTATATGGCTCAGGTAACGCGGGGAATGTCTAATTTATATATCGCGCATCGGGGGAGGTCGGGGCGACGTAGCCTTCTTGAAACACACTTTCCTTGATTACGCGTTCGTTTGATGTTTTGGTCTTTATCGATTGGGTGGCCGGTGGATTCCAAAGTTCGATGATTATTATCGATGGTAATATGCTGACTGGATAAAATCCGGCGTATAAAGTACGAACAGCAAGGAAAGTAATGCCCAGGTTGAGATATTCACAGGTTATAACACCTATAGGGATGTAAATATTTTTTAACTACAAACTATACTCTATTTTAATTATTTCCTTATATTATAAATAGTTGAGTAATTTTTCGATGCCAGGATTCAAACCTGTGCCTTCAGGGTAACGCTTAGACGCTCTAACTACCAAGCCAAGCTGTCGATATCTACACACTTAAAGTTTCATCCTAAGTCCAGAGAAAAAAATTCTTTCTTATTATACGATACGACATAATGCACTCGTAAAATATGTTTCTATTTATACTGCCAATGATACTTTGTTATGCGTTACTAGTTTATTTTTCACAGTTCAGAATAGCTATTTCATGAAAATGCGTGCGTCGCTTTTCTCTTGCGTAATGAAAAAGCTCTTAAACTTATGATTAGCAGTTAAAACTCCCATGCCAGACCCCTTTGGGAGTCCCAAAGGGGTCTGGCGTTTTAAATTAGAATTAAATCAATATTATTCAAATATGTAGAAAAAGTGCGAAAAGATTGTCGCCGCTGTGGGAATCGAATTTCTACATATTTGAATGTTCAATCTTAAGTGCAAAGATTAGCACTATAAACAATTTAAATTTCTAAAAAAGCAATGGCGACATCCCTCGTTCGAATTATCGTTGTAGATATTCGAAATTGTTTGTATGCTGGAAAGGATATAACAATAGATGGCGCCAAGCATTGCTTCAAATGCTAGAAAAACAAAGTAAAACAATGCGTTAAGATTTTCGTCGGTGTGGTCAAGCCGTTTAGCTCAGTGGCTAGAGCGTCAGGCCGCGAATGCTGAAGACGTGGGTTCGATTCCCACAGCGGCGACAATCTTTTCGCACTTTTTCTACATATTTGAATGTTCAATCTTAAGTGCAAAGATTAGCACTATAAACAATTTAAATTTTTAAATCAATATTATTTAAAATAATTAAATCAATATAATTTTAAAATAATTAAATCAATATTATTTAAAATAATTAAATCAATATAATTTTAAAATAATTAAATCAATATTATTTAAAAATAATTAAATTAAAATCTCTGGTAAAGGAAAATCACAGATGACACATTATCAAGGTAATTACCATCTAATTGTATTTCTATTGTATTTTATGCGGAAGAAGTTAGGTAGTCCCGACCACTGCGACCTAGATAGATCTATTGTAGTCTTCCGATCGAAAATATTGCCCTCTGGATGTTTTACGTCATTTTGACAAACACCCAGATCCAAATCAGGCATCTGTGGGTCACGCGAATAGTTATCTCGTGTAGGAATCGAACCCACGACCCCCAGCGCCGAAGCCAATAACTTGGCAACTGCGCCACGGAACCTTAAGTCCCTAACTTATTTCATCTATCTATAAACTATACCGTACGTTATTTAACTATTATATCAAATTTAATAAATGTCTTCACTATTATTAAATTAAACAATTTAAACCGATTCGTCAAATTCCCAGTTTTTTTTAAAGATTAAACAAGTAAAATGTACAATCTTTATTGATCTAATATTTACAAGATTAAATGTATCTAAAATTACATATTATCTAATAAACCTAATCAACTCATGGTGCCAAAAATGCTAGCTGCATTTCCTCGCTGAATAGTAATAGTTATAACCTTTGAGCGAGAAAAGAACCAGCTCTCTTATCACCAGCCGCGGCGTTAAGCCTAGGACATAAAGGTTCAGGGACCTAAAGTTTCAAAAAAGTTCACAGTTAATTATAATTCCCAACGTTAAAAATACTGCATACTTCAACTGGATTACGGCATTAGTAGTCCAAATTTATTGTTAACCCGGTTTAGCCAATTTCCCGACCTCAAGGTCTCTTTTTCGACCGACCACAAAAAAGGAGGAAGTACTCAATTCGACTGTATTTTATGTTTGTTACCTCAAAACATTCGATTGAGTGATGCGATTTTTATGATTCTTTATTTATTTGAAAGGTGGTGCTTCCCATGTAGTCTAATATTAATTTCAAAGGTATTGGATCTGGGGCTCCGGAGATACTTTGGGAACTCCTGAAAATCAATTATGAAATGAATACAGAGCGAGATATTTGAAGTCGGTTTATTTTTGCGGGCCGGACTGAAAACCAGTGTCGGGATCAGAACGAATTTTTGTTTCTGTGTCTCGACTTTCACTGAGTCCCGTCCGTTGCACGCTCTTATGCTGCTACACAGACCTTCACTTACTTTTTTTTTGTTTTTGTTGCTGTGTTTACAATTATTTTAAGTTTTTCCAATATTATTTTATATACTGTGTAGTTACATTTTTTTTTAAGTTTTGCATGTATCCATTCTGCTTGGACCGTGAATTTGTGGCCTATTAATGTATTTCGAACTAGCTTCTGCCCGCGACTATCCATACATACGGACAGAAAACAGATATACTAAAAAATATCCTTACTAATATTATAAAGGCGAAAGTTTGTATGTATGGATGGATGTTTGTTACTCTTTCACGCAAATACTGCTGAATGGATTTTAATGAAACTTTACAGTAATATAGCTTATACATTAGAATAACACATAGGCTATAATTTATATATAAATAATATGTTTATGTATATCTGTCTTTCTGTCTGAATGTTACACCTTCAGCCTATTCTACGCAGACGTAGTCGCAGCTAGTGTATATTATGTGTTATTCTGATGCAAAAGCTATATTATAGTAAAGTTTCGCTAAAATCCATTCAGTAGTATTTGCGTGAAAGAGTAACAAACATCCATCCACACATACAAACTTATAATATTAAGTAAGGAGGTAAGGATTCTCCACGACTGCATTTAGCGATCGCGGGATATACGATAACGTAATTTGGGGAGCGCAAATAAAACTTAGGGCCGACGCGATCACGATGTCTCCCCCAGTCGTAAAGCCGGCTATTAACTATACTTATTCGCGTTACTGCTGGTTTTACTGCCCGCACACGCCTGCGGAGACCTAGCAGATTAGCAGTTAATGTCGGCTAGATCGAAAATTCGAATAGTGTCATGTTAATGACGCAAAAAACCCGCCAAGTGCGAGTCGGACTCCCGCACGAAGCGTTTCGTACCATTATCTATAAAAACGGCAATAAAAATCATTTTTGTTGTATGGGAGCCCCACTTAAATATTTTTTTATTCTGTTTTTTAGGATATGTTGTTTATCATCTGTGAAAATTTCAACTGTCTATCACGGTTTTTGAGATACAACCAAAACAAGCAGACAGACGGACAAACAGAGAGACAGACAGCGGAGGATTAGTAATAGCGTCCCGTTTTACCCTTTGGGTACGGAACCCTAAAAATATCATACACGACATCTGTGAAACCATTCTGAATATGTACGTATGCAGATCTAGGAAATAAAGTTTGCGTAGACTCTTCTACTTCATAAACAAACAATCCAAAATTGGTCTATTTATTAATGCATATACTTTGCTGCGGCGGGGCCACGCGAAAGTTTGTGCATGAATGGGTGGGCTCGTCTGTGAAAGCACCTCCCAAATGGAAATGGATGTAATTTCGCTTTTATTCTAGAGAGGTAACCGCGGCCCACTTTTATTAAAGTTGTCAGATGTTTAGATGTCCATGGGTACTGTAACTGTTATCACTTAACATCAGGCGAACCTCCTGCTAGTTTATTAAGTTTTCACATTTAAAAATTACACACAAAGATATAGTATTTTTTTAATGTGAGAAAGTGGCAAACGAGCTCGCGGTTCACCTGATGTTAAGTGACAACCGCCTGCCCGTGGACATTTGCAACACCCGTAGGGTTGCAGATGCGCTGCCACCTGTTAATAATGTGGGCCCCGGCTACCTCACTCACCAGACGAAACGCAGAAGTGCAACACTTCTACTTTACGCCGGTCTTCTGTGAGGTCGTGGTACTAACCCGGACGGACCTGCCCATTCGTGCAACAGCGAACACTGTTGCGTGGCCCTACCACCGGAATATCAATGGAAATCCAATAAAATCTTTACGGAATCTTCGGCATGAAAAATCCGCAAGCGCACCGGGAATGGGGCGCCTTATTAATGCCAGGTAACCCGCCCCGCGCGTGTTATATTTGTAAAACGATCGGCAAATAATTCACCCCCGTGTCTGGAGGGTTGGCAAACAAAGTGCGCGCAGTTTAAGGGTTAAGTGAACAAAAGTTCGGACGGGGCGCGTGACGTTAATATTAATCATTTCGCCGGATGCGGCGCTAGATGGAGATAGAACGCGTATATCCGTTTTGAATGATGTTTTAATACGACCGTTATTTGTGCTCTGTGTCTGAATATTACGGCGGAACAATCAGGCTTTCCGATTTAACACAAAGCTTCGCGGTTGTGTGCACTAAACGACTATCTCGTTTTTAAACTAAACATGTAAAATATTGTCTCGAAGTCCGCAACGTAGCTTTATTAAAGCGTGCATTCGCGTAAACTCAGGTTTGTTTTGCAATTGATGACTCTTTAGTGCAGTTCTCCATGCATTGGCTTCGGTGACGAGAGTCGTGGGCTCGATTCCAACACGGGACAAGTATTTGTGTGAGCCACAGATAATTATTTCCGATCTAGTTGTTAGTCTGCGTGAAATTTATTCATGTTTAAACAAATGCATATTTTTTATTATTATCATTTATTTCAAGTTACTAAGACTCATATACATCCACATTCAAAATTACATTTTATCACATAAAAAAAAAAAAAAAGAAAGATAAAAGAATACGAATTATACAAATTAACCATTACAAGCAAAAAAAAAAAAATTTGTAATTATCCCAATAATTAAGAGAGAAGGATACGGTAACCTATTCTTTATTTTCCAACCGATTTCAAAAAAGGAGCCGACTCTCCAAACGTTTGTATGTTTTGTTTTTTCAAATACGAAAGTAGTAAGCGCGATTGGCTTTTTAAATATTTTTTTTAAGTAGTACCTAATCGCATTTAGCTGATGGAAACTAATACCTTAATAATTTTTTACTTTAACAGTATTCGTGTGAATACTGCACCTAGCATACTGATTTTATGATGACAATAGACGTCACATACGCCCTCACTACTGAGTCTCCCCTTTGCAGAGAGCGTTAGCGCATAGTCCGACACGCAGTTCTTTTACGGATGCGCGGAACTCACGTATTCGCAGTATTTTTGTTACTTTTACGTTTTCATCATGTGAAAAGTTGGCAAGCGAACAGGCGGTTCACCTAATGTTAGGCGATTACCGCCGCCCATGGGTAGAGATAACCATGGGCGGCGGACTGAGGAGTTGCAGATGCGTTGCCAACTTGTTACAAAGTGGTCCCCGGTTAGTCCATTCACCAGACGAAACAGGAAAGTATACTTTACGCCAGTTTTGTGTGAGGCCGTGGTACTTCCCCAGACGGCGCTGCCCTGCAACAGTTGTCGTAACCGTCGTGAAAGTAACGTTTACGCGCCGTTTAATTGATGAAAATACTAAAACGTGGTACAATTTACCTCTTCGCAGTTTTGCCTAGCGACAGATTGTTTACCTTCCAACGCATTCGAAACCTATCCAGCCGTGGGCTGCTTGCTTGCCAGACATATTTGAACTTATCCACCCTTAAGAGACATATACAACTCTGCCCGCCGTTGCCAAGGTCACGTAACTCACCGGCCAATTGCCGATAGGCTTGGAGCTCTAGCACTTTGATTATCTAACCGGACTCTCACCTGGGCCTGCGTGAAGAGCACCCGCCGCTTGCGCCGCTGTGCGAGAGGGAACTGCATCGGCTTTGCGTCGGGGCCCGCGCACGCCGCCAGCCCGCCCATGTTGTTCACGTGGCCCATGCCGCCCGACGTCGACGTCATCAGCCTGGAAACTAAAACGGCCGCTCAGATAGACGCCGGTGCCCAGGGGGAAGGCTACGCTGGGGCGCAACAGTCACTTAACATAAATGAAGGCCGAAATACCAAAACATGAAACTATCAACCTAGGCATGCAACAGGTGACATACGCTTGTGAATAAACCCGCTGGAATCTTGAGCAAATTCCGAGGGCGGATATCAACACATGAGCTTTCCTAGCGGGCTAACCCTGACAAACCTACTGCTGCAAGACCCGGCAATGTTGTTAAACCAAGGTTGCTAGAAGTAATGGCTAACTGCCTGATTCTATCGGCATCTGATCAATGGTTACAAATGGGGAGAGAGTTCATGTAGCTTGAATTAAAATTCCGAGGCCTTCGTAGGTTGCATGCCCTGATGAACAAGACTCAAAAATCGAGATCTGTAAGATTTGTAGTATATTATACAACCGTTTATGTTGGAATGACGGTCTCGGTAGTTCGATTTTTGGAATTAAATTTGCATTCTGCAATATTTTTAACTTTTATCAGATTCCTTACGCGCACAACTTATTATAAGTATCATGCTAAGTGATTTTTACCTAGGTGCCGAGAATAGTCAGTCCATACAATTACAGATACCATACAGTTTTTACAGTTACAGGATTTTCAATCCATCCAAAGGTTGTCTGGAAGAAATTACTCTTAGTAATAAGGCCGCCCATTGTACCCATTACTTCTACATTAAGTTTGAATTTTTGTTTGTTTTATTTGGTGTGCAATAAAGTAAATTCATTCATTCATTCATTCATTCATTCATACAGATGAGATCGTAAATTATTTTTTTTCTTCTCTATTTAATTCATTTTAATTTACTACCGAACTTTCGTACAGTCGACATAAAAAAAATGATAATACAATAATAAAGTCTTAGTAACAGCCTATACATATCCCACAGCCGGGCAAAGGCCTCCTACATACAGAGGGTATCAGGGCATAATCCACCATGCGGTCCCACTGCGGATTGGCGGACTTCACATATCTTCGAAATATTTTTTTGTTATTATTTCGAAATTATGCAGGTTTCCTCACGATGTTTTCCTTCACCGTGGAGCACGTGATAAGACAGCACTTAAAGTTAAAAACTTCATTGGTTCTGACACCGGGGATCGAACTTAGGTTGCTCGTGTATATTGAATTAAAGGCGAGCGCCCGGACACTGAGCTATCACGGCTCTAATCAAGTCTTATTCAACAGTAAATTAATGCGTAATTAATAAAATTTACTGTGGTAGGGCCACGCAACAGCTTCGGCTGTTGTAATAATGGGCAGGTCCGTCCGGGTAAGCACCAGGACCTCATAGCTGAATGGCGTGAAGTGGTAGCGTTACGTCTGCGTTTCGCCTATTAAATGGGGTAGCCAGGGCCCATGTTATTATAAGGTGGCAACGCATCTGCAACCCTACGGATGTGCGAATGTCCATGAGCGGCGGTTATCACTTAACATCAGGTGAACCGCCAGCTCGCCTGCCACTTTGTCATATAAAAAAAAACAATATTAAAGAATTTCAAGATGACAAGATTTGATCTCACACAAGAACAACCTGTATTATGGGAAACTATAGAAAGAGTGTTTGTTGAAAACTTGGAGTGTCTTTCGAGCATTAAGATAGAACATTCATTAAGGAGATTGGCTAGGAAAGTCTAGTAGTAAATAGTAAAGTAAACCAGTCACGCCGCAATCACATTAGAACTCTACAAAATCGATTTGAATAATAACATTATCGACGTAATCTTTACATAGAATTTGCATGGTAAGATTAATGCTCCTACACTGCTAAAGCAGGTCATTTTATCTGTACCTTAGCTCGAACCTCGAAACTCCATTTTAAACAAATTAGATTCCATTAAGGAAGACCAATTTAGACAAGTATGCACCTCTACATCAATAAATGCATGATTCTAATGAATTGACCAAAGATAGAAATACTGATAACTTTAACAATATGGAAAGTAAGTTAATGACCAATATTTATCCAGTCTTGTAACTAGTTTAAGTTATGAAATTTAAATTATAAGCTTTCATAGTAAAATTTTGAATGTATTAAACACATTTAAGTTCTATATCATATTTTAATATCCCTTGAATATCCTATCCAAAACATATACTTTATTGTTATAAAAGGAACCTCTGGTGGTAGGGCCACGCAACAGTGTTTGTCGTTGCACGAATGGGCAGGTCCGTCCGGGTTAGTACCACCACCTCACAGAAGACCGGCATCAAGTAGAAGTGTTACACTTCTGCATTTCGTCTGGTGAGTGAGGTAGCCGGGGCCCACTTCATTAAGAAGTGGCAACGCATCTGCAACCCTATGGGTGTTGCAAATGTCCATGGGCAGGCGGTTATCACTTAACATCAGGTGAACTGTCATCTCGGTTGCCACTTTCTCACATAAAAAATATTGAAATACAATTAGGTACCTATAAAATGATTTTATTGATGATCTCATATAATAATAATCTCTGTGTCTCAATAAATACATAAATTAATAAGGAGTTTGTTTAACTGACATGTTTCGTTCCCCAAGGTTTTAATATTTTTATGAAAAAACCGTGAGAAAAGTATAGTACGAAACACATGTTCAGATTGCAGTTTAAATACAATTTAAATGGCACATAATTCGTTGAGAGCCGTGATAGCTCAGTGAGAGCCGTGATAGCTTAGTGTCCGGGCGCTCGCCTTTAGTTCAATATACTCGAGTAACCTGAGTTCGATCCCCGGTGCCGGCACCAATGAAGTTTTTAACTTTAACTGCTGACTTATCACGTGCTCCGCGGTGAAGGAAAACATCGTGAGGAAACCTGCATATTTTCGAAATAATAACAAAAAAAATATATTTCGAAGATATGTGAAGTCCGCCAATACGCAGTGGGGCCGCGTGGTGGACTATGCCCTGAAACCCTCTCTATAGAGGAGGCCTTTGCCCAGCAGTGGGACATGTATAGGCTGTTACTTTACTTTTATAATTCGTAATCTTTATTAATAGATGGCATCTCGAAGATCAATGAAAAAGTAGAGTTACATTTCGTTTACATCGTGTAAAATAAATACGATCCCGTATTTCACTTTGAGCGTAAAACATTTATAGATAGATGCGGTCGGTAATAATGCCTTCTGCGGAAATGTAATAGCGTGGATGCAGATTAAAAAGTTGCAAGGGAAAAGATGATAGCTTAAAGCGGAATTTTACAATTTTAATTACATTGTCACAAACGTCCCAGCGCGTCCCATTATCATTACGGAAAAAAAGGAATTAATAACGGCATGGAAAAATTAAACTCCTCGCGCTGGCTACGCTTAAGTGTCAGGCCGCCATTTTCGCTAATGACACTAGACGTTTCCCGCGCTGTGAACGCTGCAGAGCTTTATTTTTCACAGATTCAAAATAGAGTTTTTTATATTGAAAGTGGAATATAAGTTTATTTCTATAACGAGTGCTAAAATAAAATATACACATCAATTTTAATTATATTCGCCCCGTGAAATGAAAATTTGTAACATCGCTGAAGCAGCTGGACCGAGTTTAATTCACGGAATGCTTTTTCTATTTAAATTGTAATAAAAGAAATGCTACTTCACATGTATTTGCATATTTAACCTTTTGTTTTGCATAATAGAATATAAACCATTTCATCATTAAGAAAACGAGTTATGGGACTTTTAAGATCTTAATGAAAGCTTAATAGTATTACTTTTGACTTTTGTTTAGTAAGAAGACTAAGATTTCGAAGATATGTGTTACTTTTCCTTAAAATATTTTCAAGTAATGTAGTAACATCTATTGACTCGAAAGCTTCGACGCTGTTTGTGGCTTAGTAGACCCACAGACAGCGCCACCCACAAATCTTTTCGACAATTTCATAAAGAAAAAGGTAGGTCTAATTTTGATATAGGTAGGTACATGATTCGCGTGTAAAACTTTCAAATTATCAAGTCTGCAGTTTGTGAGCACATTTTGAATAGGCCCAACCACTACATCAGGTTTGACAAACCACAGATCCTTGCAAAAGAACACCGATTCCTCCCAAGGATGATTCGCGAGGCTATTGAAATTAAAAAAACACCCTAATTTCAATAGAGAAGAAGGTTGGGTACTACCATCAGCTTTGGGATCCTGTCATCAATAAAATTAAATCTAGGCCCAAACGAACCACTACTGCAAGACAAGATACAATTAGCTCCCTCTGCATAGATCGGACACAAAATTAATAATTCAAAAACTGACGGTAGCCCGGGTTAACTATGACAATCAGACGTCTAACACCTCAGTCTGTCCCGTGACCATGAACGCTGTAAAGGGTTCGAAACGTCGGGAATTAAAATTAAAAATAAACGCGATAAATCCGTAAAATTAGTTTCATTTATAATTATCAATTTGTTTATACTTCATGAATATAAAGAGACCTTCTAGTACCAAAAAGCAAATAGATTATTTGGGTTTGTTTAGAGCGTACTTTTTTTACATATTAAAAATATAATTCTTTACTAATGCTACGCAAAGGAACGAACGTTCCACATTCGATAGTTGCGAAATGCTAAAAATGATTTCGCCTTCGAAATATTCTTTATTTCATCATAACGTCGCGTCGGCAGTTGCTGTGAAACCAGCAATATTCCACACATTATGCCCGACGAATCCACCGTTCATTCTATTTACACAACACTCAAACCTCGAAAAGGGTCTTTCAATATATAACTCCCCATTCTGTCTTACTTTCGACGCCATTGTAGGACCTCGGTGCCTCTGTTTTGGCTGTATTATTCGGTATCGCTGCCGTATCAATGAAAAAAAAAAGTTTAGTCTACCGCTCTTTGTCGAAATGTCAATGGAGCGCCGGACATTTTGTTATCGAGACGGGGAATCTCTCAAATCGCATTTAAATCGAAATGTAGTTGTTTCGATCGGGCACTTTAGTTTTTATGAGGGTTAATAGAATAAAGATTTAACCGTTTAATTACGCATACATGAACAGATG